AGCGGCGGTGGCGGGGGGGGGGGGGGGGGGGGGGCACGCTTGTGCAAGTCAGCCCCAGGGATTCCACCCCACCCCTCCTCTCTGTGTAGCTGCGTACACGCAGCGTGAGGGTGTCGAGCAGCCAGGCAGAACACCCCTACGCACTGACACTCATGATAAAGCCTCGACATGTCTCTGGCCAGTATTTTCTCCATTTGTTTCCCGGACAGAAAGCTCAAATACCAGACTGCCTGGTTCAATTGTGCAAGTCAGCCCCAGGGATTCCACCCCACCCCTCCTCTCTGTGTAGCTGCGTACACGCAGCGTGAGGGTGTCGAGCAGCCAGGCAGAACACCCCTACGCACTGACACTCATGATAAAGCCTCGACATGTCTCTGGCCAGTATTTTCTCCATTTGTTTCCCGGACAGAAAGCTCAAATACCAGACTGCCTGGTTCAAAAGCGCACACCCGGCACCCCTAGGCGCAGAGGGCCTGGCCCAGATACAGAAGCTGTAGCCAGCGGCCGAGATCAGGGCCAGGGCTCTGCAGGGCGCAGAGGGCCGGGCCATGGAGCGGCAAAGGCTGCAACATGCAGGAGACACAACTCAATAAATAGAAGGTTTTATTAGACTAGAAAACAGTAAAACTGCCCTGTTCAAGAGCCTCCCTGCCCCCGAAGGGACGCAGGCCTGGGAACTCTGCCCAGGGCCAGACAAATAAATACAGGCTGCGCCAAGTCCCGCAAGTGGCAGATGGCACCCGCCTATGGAAGGGGGCCCCAGATGCCGCCCGTGGCCGGGCCAAGCAGGCTTGGACTCCAGCCCCAACCCGCTGGGCTCCCAGTGGCCCGGGACCCCAGGGATAACTAGGAAGTGACCGTGGCAGGGTCACTACTCCTTTGAGTGAGTCCGTCAAATCGCCGGGGCACAGCTGTGTCAGCACCACGCGCCCTGCCCCCCAGAGCCAGCCCCGGCAGGGCAGCAGCCAGATCCTCAGTGCTCCTTGTTCCCCACCAGCACAGGCCCAGAAGAGGGGAGCAGGTGGGAGCGGTCGGCCAGGTCCCTTCTCCCTGCTGCCTGGCTCACTCCAGGAACTCCTGCACCATCCTCCGCAGGTCGATGGAGAACATCTCCTCCCAGGGGCCACGGATCCACTCCACCAGCTGGGCCAGCAGCTCGGGGCACGCCGTGTGGATGTGCCACGTGCTCTCCACCTTCAGCACCTGCACGGGAGGAGGGAGGTCATGACGGGCCAGGCTCAGATCAGTGCTCAGAGCTGCTGCAGTGAGTGGGCACCG